TTTGACAGAGAGCAGAGCACAGCTCACATCACTGAGTCTTTGTGGACCGGACCTGGGGAATGGCGGGGGCAAACCTGTGGCTCTGATCCTGCCCTACTGGTCCACTTCTTCCAGACAGACCAGCACCTGCTGCTCTGTGGAAGAGTGAGATTTAGGCCACTGGGGTGGTGCCCTCACCCTTCCGTGTCGTTCTGTCCCCCACAGAGGAGAGGCGGGCCAGAGAATGGCCACTGGAGACTGCCGAGCTTCCTGAGGGCCACCTGGAAGACTGGCTGGAGAAGAGAGCTAAGAGGCTGAGCTCAGCGCCAAGTAGCAGGTACAGGCCCCAGGATCATCCTTCCTTTCTTTCTGGGAGCTGCCTGGGCCAACCTGTCCTTTGGGGAAGCTGAGGCACCCATATGAACTGTCCAGGCCCAAGGACCAAGCGTGAACCCCCCACTGTAGAGCTTCCTGGGGGTGCGTCCCTACTGGGGTTCTCAGACCCTAGCCAGAAGGAGTTGTGTTGGAGAAATTGCCTGGTCTCTTGGTCCCTTTTAATAGCTCACCCCATAGGGCTGAAGAAGAGGCTAGGAGCCAAACAGATGTGATCCCACAGCTGGCGTGGCGAAAGGTCAAGGCTCCACCTGTGTCAGCTGAACTCCCTATGTGCCTGGGACTTACTGCTCCTCAGGGCCCTGCAGAAGGGGAAGCTGGGACTTGCAGAGACACTGGTGTGAGAAGCAGAGCAAGGGGACAACAAGGTCATTGTCCCTCTGCATCCGAGGACCAGGATGCTCTGAGTGGACATCATCCCTTCTTGTACGGGACTATTAGAGTATGACTGTGTGCTCTCCTGCCTTTTGGAGAGTCAGGATGCAGCCCACACTTCACCTCAGCAAACAGATGCAAAGCGGTGGGGCAGGAGCTTCTGTGGCTACATGGTGGGTGTCACAGCCAAAGGCAAGGCCAGGCTCCCAGCCCCGCTCCACGTGTTAAAGGTAGAGTAAGAAGGGCTAAGGCTGAGCTTGAGAGCTGTGTGTGGCTTTGTAGAGATCGCCTCTGATTTTCAGACCCCATGAGTCTCTACGCTCTGGCCTCAAGGAACAGTGGCTTGGCTATGTTAAGGATGTCTGTCAGACATTATGTAGGAGGAAAACTTTGCTCCAGGCTCTGCCGTGGGGTAAAGGTTGAGCTTCTTGTTCCAGCGGAAAGGGATTAGTGTTGTGATTAAGACTGTTTTGTTTTGTTTTACATTTATTTGGGAGGAGGTGTGCACATGCACACTCACATGCCATGGCATGCCGGTGGGAGTCAGGACAACTTACAGGGGTGGGTTCTCGCCACCATCTGAGCTCCAGGTCAGCAGACTTGGAGCAGCACCTTCACCTGCTGAGCTCTTTTCCAGTCCTGTTAGGGCATGTTAAAATCACCTTTGTGTTTGCTTGGCTGTTCTCTATGTGCATACAGTTCCCGTGATGGCCAGAAGAGGGCAGTAGATCCCTGGAACTGGAGTTATAGATGCAGTTGGTGCTGGGAATCAAGCCAGGACCTCTGCAAGAGCAACCAGTGCTCTTAACTGCTGAGCCTCCTCTCCCGCCCCATTTTACTTTTAGTTTAAGCCTGTACCCTGTGTCTGTACCCCACTTTAAAAAAGATACAGTACAGATATAACTTAAACAGAATATGACGCCCCTTTCTTCTGGACCCATTTGAAGGGATGTAATTTTGCACATTTTCCAGGATTCTAGACTCCTTCAGCTGTGTGAGAGGGTTCATGCTGGTCAGAGAGCCATTCTGAGCCCACCATAAGGGTTACTATGGTTTCGGCTGCTTACTCCACTGTTCTGCCTCAGCGGTCTCCTTCTGTGGCAGTGAATGACAGCCTGGGCACGTTGGGGCAATGAGAAAGGTTCGGGAAGGCCTCTGAACTTGAGTTAGTGGCAAGCAAGTGGAGATAGCATTCCCAGGGTCCCCCCAGACAGACACATGCCCAGTGTGAATATGGGCGCTGGGGATGACGGGGAAACTGAGGATGAATGACTAGCCCGAGTTACTGCTAGAGTGGTGACCGCACAATGGCTTGTATTCATGGTTGTCCTGCGCATGGTCCCAGGCGTCCAGGGAGCCTGGTGCATTGTTGTGCAACTCTGGAGTTTGCTCTTCCTAGCCAGGGAACTGTGGCCCTGCTGCTTAGGCCCCCGACTCCTGTGGCCTGTGTTCAGGGCTGCAAAAGGGCTTGGCAGCACCTGGGTGGGGAAGATGCCTGCATCCAGGGTGCCCTAGGTTCCTAGAAATTTGAACCCCGATTCCATGGCCACTTCAGGGAATGCTTTTCTCTGTAGCTGCCTGTTTCCACCCAACTGCCCCGTCCTGAGGACTGCAGGCAAGACGGCTTCTTTTCTTGAGCAGAGCAAGCTTGTGTACCCTGAAAGGAGTCACCAGGAGAGGCATGATGCTTTACTCTGACATGTGTCCCATTCTCCTCCAGCCTCTCTAGCTTTGGATTCTGCTGCTGCATCTTTGGACTCACCGTGGGCTTCCCTGTTCTGCCCTGCATCCCTGAGAGGAGCCCTGTGGGAGCTGTGTCTCCTTCACCCCTGGCTATCCTTTCTAGTCCTTGCAGCAACTGCCACATCACAGCCCCACTAGTTTTGAAAGGCACCTTGGTCCCAGGCCACCCCTCCAGAGACTTCCCGATGCCCATTTCAGTCAGTGTCTTCTTAGGAAGGCCCAGACTCCTCGCTTAGTCCCCAGGAACAGGCCTGGGGACAGCATCTGCTACCCATCTCTTAACCTTGCTTGGGTCACATTGGACACTGCCTCCTCAGCTCTTCTGGCAAAACCCTACTCAGCCTGCAAGCTTTAATAGAAACAGTGACTATCAAGACACATTTGGGGGATCAGGGACCCTAGCCTGAATGACATCACTGAGGGTCCCTTGTGGATATTTCTCTTTTCAGGATGTATGCTTTCTTCCCTGGGGCACAGATGCCACCTGGCTCACCTAGCACCCCGAGACCTGTGGGCTCCAGCATCCACAAGTAGAGAGAACCCGGGGTAAACCAGGCTGGCTCTCCTTCTTAATGGGGGACACAGGCTTCCCAAAGGTGTAGACTGTTGGTGTCTGCTCGTCTCCTCAGCCCTGACCCTGAGGGATCAGCCAAGAGCAGACAGCAGCCTCCGAAGGGAGCGGCCTCAGACCTCGGACACACAGACTAATCCCTGGCCGGTCAGGCGCTGCCGTCCGCGCTTCCTATTGTTGGCTCTTCTGATTGTGCCTTTATCCTTCCTAATCTCCCACATGCACCCCTCCCTGGGCCAGCGCTCTGTCTCCCACATGCACCCCTCCCTGGGCCAGCGCTCTGTCTCCCACATGCACCCCTCCCTGGGCCAGCGCTCTGTCTCCCACATGCACCCCTCCCTGGGCCAGCGCTCTGTCTCCCACATGCACCGCTCCCTGGGCCAGCGCTCTGTCTCCCACATGCACCCCTCCCTGGGCCAGCGCTCTGTCTCCCACATGCACCCCTCCCTGGGCCAGCGCTCTGTCTCCCACATGCACCCCTCCCTGGGCCAGCGCTCTGTCTCCCACATGCACCCCTCTCTGGGCCAGCGCTCTGTCCTGCACATCCACCCCTGTAAGACGATTTCCTTTTGATAAGGGCCAGAGCTGGGGACATGCCAGGCTCTCGCTGCTGCCCGTGTACACAGAGCAAGTAGGCCATGAAGAGCATTGCACCTGTGACCCCGTGCTCTTCAGGAGTGGGCTCTGAGGTGGGGTCCTGGCAAGGTGTCAGTGTCCATGAGTGTCGGGGGCCTCAGAGTGGGCAGGGCACTGGCTGACCCACTTGTTAAAGGAAAGGTCTGACGCTTAGAGGTAGGAACTCCCCAAGACCACCCTTCCCTGGGAAGCCCCACCATTACTGTGGCCTCACAGGAATCCCCAGGTTGGCTGACGTCTGGGGCACTCCCTTCAGCACCAGTCTCTCCTACACCATCTTTGCTGTGGTTGATGGAACTTATAAAATCCCAGCACCATAAATCATGTCAGGGCTGCTTCCTCTGCATTTCCAGCATGCAGCAGGCCACTGAGCAGGGGTGTCCCTGTCCTCTGCACTTTCAGTGGGGCTTGGGGGGACTGTCCCCTGTCCTCGCAGTGGGAGCTTTGGAAGCTGCATTCAGGGCTCTCAGCAAGACCTTCACCGTAGGCACTACTGCTATGGGTCTTGCCCTAAGGGCAGGAGGGAGGGATGGATGTGGTCAAGTAAACTCTGAGGTGTTCCCTGTAACCACCTCTCAGTCCTGAGTCACATCCAGACACTTCACAGGAGACTCAGGTCCTTCTCTTTCTGCAGAGTACTGGTTGCTAGGCACCCAAGATGTCTGGGAGCTGCCAGGACCTCTCTCTTCCTGAAGGTTGAGGCAGAAGGAACTGAAGGGTCGGGACAGAGCAAACTATTCCCCAACCCCTGGTTTCAAAGGCTTGTGTGCTTGTAAAACTTGGAACAGGTGGCTGATCCCTTCCTTGTACTTTAGTTGCCTTACCTGAATAAAGGGATTTGCACGAGGATTCCATGGTGTGTCGGCTCATGAGAGCTCTTAGTCTGGTATGACTGAGTGTCATTGGGTGGCCTAGTGCCAGGCCCAGGGTATACATGTCACTCTACCACTAGTCTCCACGCTGAGACTTGAGGCAGGCGGGCCTAGGTCTGCAGGGTCTGGGTGGGGGACAGGGACAGGGGCCTGCCTTCATGTCGCTCTGGGCCTGGAAACTGCAGGTTATACCCAAGGGTCCTTCCTAAGGAGGGCGTGCCCTGACTTTAGGAAGGTGAATAGTAAAGAGAGTGAGTAGCATAAGAGGTAAGGCTTTTCCTTTTAAATTAGATTTTTTTGTGGTTTCAAAGGCTTATGTGCTTGTAAAACCTTTGAGAAGTATAAAGAGGTTAAAAAAAACAAAACTCTGCCCATCCATAACCACACCACTCAGATAGAACCACTATTAACATTTTCTTTGACTTCCAGGGTTGTTTTTATGCATTTATATATGTTATATATATTTAAACAAAAATAGTATCATGCTATATACATTATTTTATAAGCTTTTTCTTCTTACATAGTATATTTTTCCTCATCAGTGCACAGAGGCCTTGGCTTTTACACAGGCTGCTTAGCATTCTCTGCTGTTGGCGTGCATACATGTTTAGCCGGTCCCCACAGGTGGACACTAAGAGTGTCCCCATATTGCCCCAGGCTATTCTTGGTTCAGTCTCTGCCTAGACCCCATCTTGGACTCAGTTCCGAGAAGAGGTCGCTGGCTCTGAGGTCCTGCGTGTTATCAAGCCTCTGCTTCCAGGAGGGCCATGCAGGTAGCCACGGTTCCCACAACCAGTGCGGTGGAAGAGCAAGGTGATTCAGGAGGTGCTCCGTTCTGACCCTCTTCCTTTCTTCTCTCTAGGACTGAACCCATCAGAACCACTGTCTTCCAGTACCCTGTGGGCTGGCCACCAATGCAGGAGCTGCCCCCCTCTCTGCGGGCACCCCCTCCTGGAGGATGGTCCCTACAGCCCAGAGTCCAGTGGGGCTGAGCTCTTCCCCACCTCCCTGCCTGACTTCGCCTGGTCACCAGGCATAGTAAAGACAGTTACTCAACCTAGGAAGAGAAGCTGCCTTCGCACTGTTCCCCCTGGAGCCTCTGAGACTGTGAGCTTGGCCTCCCCATCCACACACCATCCCTCAGGGCATATCTTGAGAAGATGGGTGAGAAACATCCAAATGTTTATAAAGTCTGTCCTTGATGGTTTTTCTGGCACTCGTGTTCTTGGCTCTGTCTTCTTGCCTCCATCAGGGGACAGGTGGGCTGAAATGAGACACAGTCCTCTCCAGGGTGTCCTCTGCTTACAGCCCTTCTTGCTTAGGGATCAGTAGAGGCTCAGCCAGGCTGGGCACAGAGCATGCCAGTGTGGCTGTGGCCCAGATAGTAAGTGGCCCCAGGCTAGGGAAAGGGCTCTGCCAACTGTCTCAGCCCCTGAAGAGCTGCAGCCATGCATCTGCCCAGGCTGTGCCGGTGCCAAGAAATGGGATGGCACCCGTAGAGCCAGGATGAGAGCTGGTCCTCCTGCCTTGAGGGCACAGAGAAGTGGGGCCCCCAAGAGGACAGGCCCTGAACTTGGAAGAATGATCTGTTGGCTATGCCAGATCCTCAAGGGAGTCAGGTCCCTTGGGAGTAGCCAAGGCCTTCCAAGACTGCACCCTGGCCAGAGGCGAGGTCACATGGGCTATAGAAGCTCTGTTCCCCTCCTCAGTTGGGTTTTGAGTTTCTGTGCTGGGAGACAACTTGGTCCTTGGTCTCTTGGACTTTGATGGAAGCCTCAGCAATTCATGGGCCTTAGAGCTATCTCTGATGGACCTGCTTGTGCGAGCATTTGCCTTTCCTAGAAAGCCCTGGAAGAACCTGAAGCCAGATCTTAGCCCCTCAAAGCCTCCGACTCCTCACCTGTGAAATGGGCAGGCACAGGCCCCAGAAGGTGGATAGGAATACTGGCCTTGAGTCTAGGGAGGGTCAGAGGAAGGGACCCAGGAACCCCAGCCTTGGGCCCACCTCTACCCCACCCACAGCTCTGGACATAAGTTTCTTGCCTGCCTAAAAGATCACAGCACTAACTGGATCCTAGGGACTCTTGTGAAGTCCCTCCTTTCCCAGGAGCTCCTGGGTGGTGGGTAGTTAATGCTAAATACAGGCCAGGTGAGGGTACAGGCAGGGTAGAGGGGCTAGCGCTGTCTTCAGAGCCACCGCCAGGTCCTTCTCGGCTGGGCCATGGCTCCATGCAAGGCCTGTGGGGTGGGGATCGGGGTGGTCAATGTCCAGGCTTGGAGTGCCTGTGGGTGGTGGCCCAAGGAGTAAGCTGTGGGGAGGGCTGCAGGCAGCGGTAGGTGTGGAGTGAGCCTGGGCACTGCCACTGCTGGGTGGGCACTCATGCCGTGCCTATTTCATGCCACTGCGCAGCACCTGGTTGGCCGCGATGAGCATGACACTGATGATGAAGGCGATGGCGAACGCGCAGATCAGGCTCTTGCGCACACACGTCTGGCGGATCTGCTGGTTGGAACAAGCTGCAGCCGCCCACCAGGAACACCAGGCAAAGACAGAAGGGGACAGTGAAGGGATGGATCAGGTCTGCACTTTGGCACATGAACTTGACTCGGGTCAAACAAGGACACAAGGCTGGGGGCAAGTAAGGAGGACCCCATGCAAGCCCCTGGTGTGTCCCCACGCTCAAGCCCTGGAACCCACCCACAAAGTCCCGAGGCAGGCCACTCACTCTCCACGTCCACAGGACACTCCTCAGCAGTGCCCAGGTGGCTCTCTTCTTCCGTCATGATGATGTTCTCTATGTCCTTCATGGACAGGTGCTCACAGAAGGTGTCATAGAGGAGTCGCTTCAACTCATCCACCGTCAGCTTCTGCATGTCACACTTGGGTGGCAAAATGACAAGTGCTCTGGCCACTACCCTGACACAGTCCCCACCCAGCACCCTGCACACAAGCCCAAAGACAGCCCCAGACCCCATTAGACTAGAACCACCTGGTCCATTCCCAAGAGCCCAGGCCCCCAGGAAGCAGGACATCCGGTCAACAGTGGCCATCCCCCACTCACTGTGGTGTGGTCTAACCACCTACGGGTCCTCAGCACCTCCACACTTACACAGCAGAGCACCAGTTAGCCAGGGCATACCTTCCAGAAGACAGTGTCAAAGTCAGTGCCATGGAATCTCTCTGGGATCCCAGAGGTGGAAAGCTTTGGTCCCAGGAGTGTTACAAACTCCTCGAAGTCTACTTGGCCATCACCTAGAGTGGGCACAGGACTAATGAATGGGTAATGCTGAGAGCATGACCAGGCATCCCAGAGTTCAAAAGACATGAAATGGTGTCTCGGCCTGCCTCAGACCTACCAATGGGACCTCAACCCCCTCCCTGACTTCAGGGATGCCTAATATGCCAGGCTCTGAGCTGATGTTGAGGCTACCAAATGTGATGGGGCTCTACTTGGAGACTGGGGAAGGAGAGCGGTAGATGGTCCCCAGATGTGGGAAACTCTCCTGGTACACTCAGACTCTCCATGGCTCCCCAGTGCAGTGCTGAATCCCTTTCTGTCATCCAAATGGGAACATGAAGCCAAATGCCCGGACTCATTCCTGCTCCCCGGAGGGAGCGGAAAAGGAGACGAGGCAACAGGTGGGGTCAAGCAGAGGGAACTTGGCGTTACTAATCATCCTTAGGAGCGTTTCTTTAATAGAAATACCAGGCAGCAGATACAGTGGTGGAAGCTGAGATATTTATCCCACCCTCCTTTTCCATACTTTACATCTTCTCTGACCACAGAGTGGGAGGGGCAGCCTTGGACCCTGTGTGTGGCTAGGACTGCCTGCCACACCTCCTCTGGCCTCCACTTTCTAAGCTAAGAAGTGCTAATAGGTCCTGACCGCCCAGGAAGCAAGAGGCCAGCGTGGACTCAGCCTCCATGGTTCAGGCCCTGGCCTAGGCAATGGTGAGCAAGTAAATCAAGGCGGGGCCCCTCCCTCACCGTCCATGTCCAGCCGCTGGATGATAACCTCCAGCTCCACCTCATTGGGCATGTAACCCAGGGAGCGCATGGCCGTTCCCAGCTCCTGCTTAGAGATGAAGCCATTGCCGTCACGGTCGAACACCTTGAAGGCCTCTCGAATCTCTGTGGAGGAACAGAAGGCTGAAACCTCTCTGGGGTCTCTGGACAGGCAAGGCAGAAGAGACAAAGGGGCACCTAGCCTGAGACAGTGGCCCCCTGTGGGTCTCTGGAAGGAACAATACACTTGACTGGGAACCTGGGACCAAGCAACTCAGCATGTGCTCCGGGCCAGCCTTAGTCTCCCCCTCAGCAAATGGATGTGTGCATGAGCGCAGTGAAAGCAGCCGGGGCGTTGAGGGGCCCTAACCAGTCACCCCTGCCCCACCTGCCCCTCCGCGGCTGTCCCTCGGTTATCACACCCAGCAGGCTCCCAAAGAACATTTCCCTAGAGGAATGGACTTCAGTGCCGTAGATGGGGCTCCCTGCAGGCTCCTTGTTCAATTGGCAGTGTCCTGGCCCCTTTGCCTAAGTTGTTCCCCTGGGCAGAATCTCACTCAGTAGGCAAAGTCAAGTCTGTGTAAGTGTGAGTGTGTGTGTGTGTGAGTGTGTGTGAGAGTGTATGTGAGTGTGTGTATGAGTGTGAGTGTGTATGAGTGCATATGAGTGTGTATGTGTATGAGTGTGCATGTGTATGAGTGTGAGTGTATGAGTGTGTAATGAGTGTGCGAGTGTGAATGAGTATGTGTGTATATGAGTGTGTGTATGTGTATGAGTGAGTGTGTATATGAGTGTGTGTATGAGTGTGAGTGTGTATATGAGTGTGTGTATGAGTGTGAGTGTGTATGAGTGTGAGTGTGTATATGGGTGTGTGTATGAGTGTGTGAGTATGAGTGTGTATAGACATGAGATGCGCCACACTGCAGACCTAGAAGGTGTTGTGGATGCCGGGAGGCCAGCCTAGCTCAGTGTGGGTTAAGGCTACTACACTATCCTGCTAGTTGCGCTATCGCAGGCCTTAGGATTCTATAAGACCTGAAATGACTTGTAAGATTGCCCATACTTTCTCTGGCCTTGGGAGAATAGAGAGTGCTGGCCAGCCTGTTGGCCTTAACACGAAGCAGAAGTCATGACCTTCAGAAAAGTGGCTTGGCCTCCGGTTCTCATCTGGCTCTCCCATGTGGAGTCTGGTGGTCAGAATCCCACAGGCACGCTGAGGTAAACGTTACCATTCCTCACCCCCACACACCTCAGACAAGTCTTGGGGACTGGTTTCTGCATCCAGAGCTTTTGGGCCAGGAACATGGCTAGGCTGGTAGATCTCAACTAGATCCAGGAGATACTGAAAACCCTGGACCCTAGCAGCTCCAGGCCAAGTACCACCACCATTTTCCTGGGTTGGTGTCCTGGACACAGTCCCCGGGGAGCACCACAAGCCTGGGGGACATTGAGACCTCTTTGAACCTGCAGCTTTGTCCGCAGCAATTATTCTGTTCCCATATCAAACTCAGATGTATAGATTCCCAGCTGGCATGATTTTGTCTCTGCCCCAAGCTGGCCTTGCTGTTTCTCTAGGTGCTTACCCTCCACACGTCTGCTCTTTCCCTAAAATGGATTGTTCCTGGACAAGTGTGTCTTGTCCCCAGGGTGTCCCATTACCTGGAGCAGGGCCTGTCACTGAGGCATAGACATGAGTGATGAGATGACTGGAGGCTGTGCACCTCCGTGCAAGGCCTCTGGACCACCCACAGAAGACAGAACCGGAGCTGAAGGCGAGGGAGCCAGCTATGGGTTGGTTTGGGGAACCTCAAAGTCAGAAATTATACCCCTTGGAGTATGAGGCCCATTAGGGAGCTCAAGGAAGGTTGGCAAAGTCCTAGATAGAGTGGGAGCTGCCACAGAAGCCATCCTCTGCTGTGAGCTGATGTCTGAGCTATATGTCCCACCTTGGCAGGGTCAAGGTGACTCCCCAATTGCAGAGATGCCTCGATGCCCTTTTTTGAGGTCCCTGAGGAAAATGTACCAGACAGAAGAGACAATAATGAGCAAGTGACACTACAGACATATGCTCAAGGGACAGGCTCTGAGACAGCCATGTGGGTACCAAAGACATCTCCCAGGCAGGGCTGACCTCCCAAGGCTATTGGGTAAACTAACAGCCAGCCACTCTCCATCTGTGCACCCCCCCCCCCGCCTCCCAGCTCACATTAATGTTTCAGACGCCGCCTCAGCCCAGTCCACCCCATCTGCCTACAGAGGCCCAGTCCAGGCATCATCTCTGTCGGAGAAGCGTTCTGATGTCATAGACCCAGGTTTGAATCCCAGCTCTGCCCATGGCTGTCTGCGTGTACGGTGGGACTTTCTGCAATGATGCAATAAGAAAAATCATATGTGCTAACCTGGCTTTGAGGTGGCCATTGTAAATCAGACCACCCCAGATGGCAGTGTGGGAAGGGAGAGGAGGTCTGGGTGAACCTCCTGCCTGCCTGCCTGCCTGCCTGCCTGCCTGCCTGCCTGCCTGCCTGCCTGCCTGCTCGCCTGCCTGCCTGCTCGCCTGCCTGCCTGCCTGCTCGCCTGCCTGCCTGCCTGCCTGCCTGCTCGCCTGCCTGCCTGCCTGCTCGCCTGCCTGCTGGCTGGAATCAAAAACCTGAGGCCTGGGCTTGAACTCTAGCTCTCCTGCTCAACAGCCAAGACCTGGGCAAGGCACTGATGTTCCTCTCTGAGTCTCAGATGCCTTGGCTGTGAAGCAGGATGAGGTTCCTGCCCCGTGGCTGGGGGCTGGCCTCTGCTAAGGGCTACCCGAGGGGCTTGGTGTCAGGGTGCTGTCACTGACCCTGTCCCTGTATGCCATGGGCAATCACTGCTAGGTGCATTCCCCGAAAGCCTTGCTCCTTCTCTGCCCTGTGAGGCCAGGCAAAACACGTTGTGCTCCATCTTGGCATGGGGATGTCTGGCTGGGAAGCCGGCTGGCAGGGCCTCTGAGTTTCCAGGCTGATATTGTCCCCTGTTCGCCGTTTTTAACCTGATATCCACAGACCCTCCCCAGCCTGTGGAGCTGCACAGGGGCCCAAGTCTCCAGCAAGCCCCAAAGGAAGTCAGCACCCTGCCAGAGAATTTGAGTCCAGATAGACAGGCGACACTGGAGGGGCAGTAGTCATCCTCTGTGGTGGCTGCCATTGTCCGCAGCGTTGGCCCTGAGCCCCGACTCCATCCCCTGAAGTTTTGGCCTGTGCAGAGGCGGTTGCTGACTTGGCTTCAGGAAGCAAGGGCGGGGGTGGGGGTGGCCCACACTACTGCCCCCAGTTGGCCACCCTCAACACAGGCTCCACAGTCAAGTACCCACCCCAGAACCCAGCTGTACGGCCACTTGCCTCTCCTCTTTCTGGCTGGCCATCCCCATCCCTACCCTTGAATGCTGGGCTGCATTGTCTAGGTGTTCCTGGAGGTTCCGGCTTGAATGTGTTTCAGAACAGGGTACGTTCCAGCCGTGCTGGGGTATGAGGAGAAGAGTGTGAGTATGTGGGCCTCTCTCTCTCAGGGGCTGGGTGGGTCTTTAAGTTAACTCTGCCTATCCCCTCCTCGCTCTGCCAGTAGCTGTGCCCAGCTCCTACAGGTCCACAGTTCTGCCCCAACTTGCCTTCTCGGCTCAGTACCCATGCCCCTTGCTGCCCTGCCTCGTGGGCCCTACGTACTCCAAGCTTATAGGGTGCTTTTCCTCAGTCTCTTCTGTTGTTACATTTGGGTCCTCAGCCCCCCTGCCAGGCCCTGCGCTGAGGACTCCCACGGCATTTTCTGCCACCGTCCGTCCCAGAAATGACAATGCCAACCCCATTTTATAGATGGGGAAACCAAGACTCAGGCAAATAATTGTTCAAGTTCACTCCATGAGCCAAGAGTGGGGTGACTCGAACCCAGTGCCGTCTGGCTGTTCTCATGCCCCCCCCCCTTTCCTTCTCCTGGTCCTCCTCACGCAGACTGACCAGCCTGGGTCTCTGCAGCAGGCAGGCACAAGGTGTCTGCAGCATTTCATCCAGGTCACCGACACCCCATCTAGTCCACGTGGCTCCCTCACTGATCCCTTCTGGCAATGGGCCTGGGTCTTATACCCAGCTGCCCTGGGACAGGCGTGCTAGTGCGTCCTGGAGAGACCGAGGGGACAAAAGGAGCATCTGTGGGAAGGACAGTCACTCTGCACCCAGCCCTGGCATTCAAGCCCGCTGCAAGGAGTCCAGGGCCTGGAGAGGCCCAGCAGGCTTTCAGCAGCCAACAAGAGTCATGGAGAACTTCCTGCCTTAACGCGTAGATTCCCACAAGCGTCTGCTGACTCTGTGTCCTCTGCCTGCTAGCCACAGGATGGCCCTGTCCTTCGGATGGCCCCTGCACCAGGGCCCCTGTGCTGGCCCAGAAGGGGTCAGAGAGAAGCAGGGAGCGTGTGTGGTGGATTGTGACTAACACCACTGGGCTTCTGCCAGCAGGTCGGCTGGATGCCTCGGGCGCACCTTGCCCTTGCGATGCCCACCGTTGCCCTATTCACCTCTGTATGCCAGTCTCCCTCAGCGTCTCCCTAGCCTGAGTGTGCACTCTAGGACCAGGGGACCGGGACTGGAGAGACCCAGTGAGACCTGGCCAAATAAAGCAAAGGAAAACTGGCCTGTGCCCTGTGCCCTCCTGGACCCTGTCACCTCCCGGCTTTCCCTCGACCCGGAGGAGGCTCTGCTTCTGTCCAGACAGGACTCGGTGAATGCTAAGGTCAGGTCAGGGACAGTGTCCTTCCATCTGTCCCACCTGTGCTGAGGTTGAGACCCTCTCTATGGCTTTTCCTGCACCTGAGCGCGGGCATGTGTCTGGTGGTCTGTGGCGCAGGGAGCTTGGTAGTTGCTTTCTCTTTCTCCCTACAGTCTACTCGCCCAAATTTTGTCCCAGACCAGGCCTGGACTGAAGAGAGACTTTCCGAATGGTTCTGCCTGAACTGCCACTATTGTCTTTTCCTGTGTCGGTCCCTCCGACGCACTCTTATAGGCCCAGATAAGACAGAGCTGAGACCCTCGACTCCATGGAACGAGGACAGGCCCATTCTCTGGGTAATATCAGCCCCTCCCCCAGCAGCTGACAACCATGCTAAGGGACCAAGACTCCCCGACTTCACTCCATATGGGGCCTCAAGAGGCCTGGGGGAGGGGAACCTTGAGCATGCCCCCGCCCCCAGTCTCAGCAGAGAAAGAGCTAGGAAGGCCCCAGGGGTCTTCACTGAGCCCCAGGACGCTCAGTCCCAGAACCCCAGCCTCTTCCTGCCGCGCTGATCTTCAATAGCCAACTGCCTGCGTCCCTGTTCCCGAAGGCACAAGGGCTGGGGTCGGGGGAGGCTTGGGTTCCGGCCTCTGCTTTTCCCTTCCAGGCTTCGCTATCGCGACTGAGCCTCCCAATCCGGCCACTTGTTGTCGCCACCGCCTCCCGGCCGCTTCGGCAGCGCACGGGTGGGGGGTCCCTCGCAGGGCCGCAGAAGGGGATGAGGGCAGCCCCGCACCCGGCAAGAGCGGGGCAGTCGCCCTCTCCCCTTCTCCTGCTGCCGAAGCAGATTGGATTCTGAACGCGACACGAGCGGAATGTCAATAGGAGCGCAGAGCCACCGGCGGGCGCCGTGGAAGGGATCAGGATGCCGGCGCTCCGGCGGCGGGCGCGGGGGGCACAGCTCGGACCCCCACTTCAGCCCCCGTCGCCTTGCCGCACCGTCACCGCGGCCCGCGCGGCCCAGTGACCCCGCTGCGGGGCCCCGCAAGTTTCCGCAGCGCCGGGGGCCACGCGGACAGGAGCCGCGCTGTCCCCGCGCCGCGGCAACCCCTACCGTGGAGCCCGGGGCTGCCGGGCCGTCCCGCCTTCCGCGCAGCGGCTCATCCGAGTCGCGCAGCAGGGTCCTCGGCGTCCCCCAGGTCAACCAGCGCGGCACCTGGACGCACAGGTAGGAGGGCGCGTGGCGGGGGTCCCGGCGGGGCACTCACCCTCCAGCTCGTCCTCAGGGATATCCACCGGGCGCTGCTCCGACAGCAGGTTGGGCACGGTGTAGATGCCCCGGTACATCAACGCCGCCGTCACCGGGTGGAACGGCATCTTGGAGGCTCCGCGCCCGCCCGCCCGCCGCAAACTTTGAGGCCGGGGCTCATGGGCCGCCGGCGGCCCCGGGGGGCGGCTGGAGCGGGCGGGGCGCGCGGTGCGGCGCGCGGTGGCGGCGGCGAGGCACGGGGCACCCGCCCGGGACCTAGCGCCCCCGCGCCCCGGGCCGCCGGGCCATGCCGCCAGCTCCCTCGTCGGGCTCCCGGCTGGGGCCTCGCAGGGACAGCGGGGGCTGCGTCGCTACGGCCTCTCGGTTCTGACCGCCGCGCGCTGCGCTCCCTCCGCGCTGCCCCGCGCGCTCCGCGCTGCTCGCCGCCCGCTCGTCCGCTCGCTGGTGCGGCCGCCTGGCCCGCCGCTCCGGCTCCCGCCGCCGCCGCCGCCGCCTGCACTCTCGCTCGCTCGCTGGCTCGCTCTGTGCGGCGCTCGCCGCGCTCCCGCCTCCCCCCGCCCGCCCCTCCCGCCCCCGCCCCTTCCCGCCGGCGGCCCCTGAGCGGCCGCCCCGAGCCTGCCCCGGCGCCTTCTCTCCTGTTCGCCCCGATTCTGCTTTCCCCCAGTGTGCTTCGGATTTCTGTCTCCCGCACCCCACGTTCTCAGCCAGCGGGACTAGGGTGGTGTGGACTGGGGGTGGAGCTGTCCCTTGTACCCACTGCCCCACCTGCCCCTACTGGTCCTCCCCCAGCAAGCGCGGAGAGATGAGAACTAACGACTAGAGACCCGAAAAGCTGAGGTTGCCCCAGCGCGGGGATCCTCAAAACCAGTAATCCTCGTGTTGGTGCCGGGAAAGGCTCCAAGGTGGGGAAACTGAGGCTTAGAAAAGGACGTTGGCCAAGGTCACCAGGCAGGGCCAAGCACAGATCTGCAGGAGACTCTACTGGCCTGTGGCTGACACCAGCAGGTGACTGGACCCCACACTGGGCTCTGGTCCTGGGTCCTTCCTGAGCCCTTGTCACTCAGCTTGCAGAGCAGGAGCCAAGGTCTGTCTCACGTCCCCAGGGACAGTGAGGAGGAGACGGATGACCCAGAGCCTGCTGGTCACGTGGCTGCAGGTTAGCCCTTTTCAGATCTTGAACATGTGTGCTACGGGGGTGGGAGCGGGTGTCTGAGGGGAAGCATGTGCATGTTTATCTTTACCCTCCATCCAGGACGCTGTGTACAAGCGTTTTCAAACCCACATGCAGACCTGTCTGAAGTGTGCATGACTCTCCGTGTGCCAGGCCCGGGAGCTGGCAGGGGAGGCAAAAGGCGGGAGGCAGGTGTGAAGCCTTTGAGCTGGGAGTGGCATGTGTACGTGAGCACAGATGTGTGCGCATGTACAATGATGGGGCATGGTGACCCTCTGGCCTGGGTGGGCCTCAGCTGGCCTGTCTCATTCCTGGAACCCCCACGTGAACTATCTCCCTGCCCTCTTGGGTCCAATCAGCCAACGGCCCCAGCAGGGAAGCTGATTGCCACAGCCCTCCCTGCCCAGCCACACCCTTCCCAAGCTGATTGCATTTTTCTGCGTGTTTCTGCTTTTGTTGATGATTAATCGCAGCCCTGACTTGGGCCGGGAGAGGGGGTTCAGTGGGAAGCACCCTGGGCCAAGGCAGGCCTGAACCCTTCAGCACTGGGCATGCTCTGAATCTCTCATAGGCATATGACACCTGCAGAGAAGCCAGACAAGCCCCAGCTGTCATCTGAATGTCGGCCCCAGGCCTCTGCCTGTTTGTTACCTGTTCAGACCTACGGTTGGAGTTGTAAGAACTCCCAGAAAAAAACCCGGAAGCTCTGCTTCCCCGCCTGCCCATCCACCAAGTCGGCTGAATCCTTGTGACCCTTTTGGGGTGTCTGATGGAGTAGAGCCGAGCAGACCCTTGCATCTACCCCTTCTTTCAGTGGTACTTTACTCCCAGGGCCTCAGTTTCCCCACGTGTGAGGTAAAGGTGCCTACCTCTCAGGCAGAGGTGAGAATGAAGTGATTTTTTTGTTTTTTGTTTTTCGAGACAAGGTTTCTCTGTGGCTCTGGAGGCTGTCCTGGAACTCACTCTGTAGACCAGGCTGGCCTCGAACTCACAGAGATCCGCCTGCCTCTGCCTCCCGAGTGCTGGGATTAAAGGCGTGTGCCACCAACGCCCGGCTGAGAATGAAGTGATTTAATGTGAGTGATTTCTGATGATTCTTGGGGGTTTCCCATCAGCATGAAACCCCCCATGGGAATACGAACTAATAACCAGTGTCAAGTCTTGATTGAGGGGTGATCTGTAAGTACCTCACTTGCTAAGCCTTCCCAGACAGTTTGCTGTTGGCTAAGGGCGGAGGCCTGGAGCCATCGGGGCTGGCAGGAAACGCACCTCTTGGAGCTTTCTTAGAGGCTGCCACAGTGGGACAAGGCAGCTCCCTCCGGTTCCCTGAAGCCCCTTGCTGCCCAGTCAGGGAAATCTCAAAAGAAAAGAGAAAGGAATCAAGAACAAATTGTGCAGATATCCTCCATACATCCAGGCCCTGTGAGTCTGTGCCCAAGGTACAGGTGTCCGTGCATACAGGGGCTGACCCCATGACCTTGGTCTGTATCCAAGGGGTCAAGCTCTCCAGTCGTGTGACCAGGGTACTGCCCAGAACAGGCATCCTCCAGGTCAAAGTGGCAGGCACTGTGGGATGATAGCTTTAGCATCTTAGGTACCACACTCTTCTGGGCCATCTTTGACATTTCAGTCCCCCAGTGACTCAAGCTGGTTCCTCCACTCTCCCCTGATACAAAGCCACGCCCCAGGACGCTTGAGCTGCTGGCCCAGTGGGCTGCCTATTAGCACTACACTTTCTGCTCTAGTAGCTGCTCCTGCTCCCCTTTGCCTGCTGGCTGGGAGCATAGGACATACCTGGGCTTTGCATGCAAACTGCCTGGTCCCTGCTCAATGCCTTGCTCCCATCCTTAGGCAGAGATGTGCCTGCTGAGGGAGCCATAGAGACCAAATCCAGCTGTAGAGCCGTTTGAGGCAGAGCTGGAGATGGGACCCAAGGCAGAAGCTCTGGGATTGCTGCCCCCCCCCGTTCTTCTAGACTCTGGGAACCTGGCTGCATCTGGGAACCACTGTTAACCTCCTCCATCCTCCAGTGCTGCGTATGACATTCAGTGGACAGCCCCATGTTCCTAACCCTGCATTCGAAGCCAGCACTAAGGCAAGGCGCTGCTTGTGCCTAGGCCCCACAGAGCAAGGGCCCCAAGGCTGCAGGGTGTAACTGAGGCTGAAGCCTCCTGTCTGATGTATGAGGGACATGGAGGCAGGACTTCAAAACTCTCAGGGCATGGGGTCAGGAGAAATGATGTGATGAATAGTCGGAATTCTAGAAGAAGCCAGAGCTCACCAGCAGGTGTCCTCCCTGAGCCTCAGCTTACTCATCTATTAAATGGGAACATATCTAAGTATGGAACAGTAGGCTCTGCTCATCAAGCCAGGAGGTCTGTGGAAGTTAGAGGTGTGAAGGTCACTCTTAGCTTTAGAAGGCGGGCTCTGGGGGCTGGAGAGATGGCTCAGCGGTTGAGGGCACTGACTGCTCTTCCAGAAGACCCAGGTTCAATTCCCAGCACCCACATGGCAGCTCACAGCTGTCTGTAACTCCAGTTCCAAGGGATCTGACATCCTCACACATCTGACACATGCAGGCAAAACACCAATGAATATTAAAAAATAATTAAAAAGGCAGGTTCTGAGTTCACATCCCTCAGGTTCCCCATGTGTGGGCTGGAGCTGGGCTGGACTTGGGTAGGGGAACAGGAACACCTGTGAAATGAATAAGAGAGTGCATGAAGGGATGGATGGATGACAGTCACCCGTGCTCTCCGCACGTCACGGGAGCAGACGGTGCAATCACAGGGTGTGAATTATGTCTGTCGCTCCCCATCTGGGGAAGGAGCTGCTGCCATCACGCTGGGAGATGCTTGGGCCCCAGGCCTTCCTGAGGGGATCTGGTGGACCTCGGGGCTTACCTTCTGCAAAAGGGGCTGGAGAGTGAGGTAGGTGATTTAAGCTGTCTTCTCAACAGCCATCCCAGCAAGAAGAAAGCAGCAGGGGTTCACCAAGTCCAGAAACTGGCGCCTTCCCTCCAAGAGCAGCGGAGTTCCTGCCCTGGCTAAGACCAGGGCCTCTCCTTCTGGGTACTGGAGGCCTCTCCTCAACACACCTCCCTGACTAGACCTGCTCTCTTGACGCTCGTGGCCTCTTGCCACCCACGTTCAGCACCAGGGAGAGCGCCCAGCAGAGCTCTGGCTGCTGACACATGTAGGCACACCACCAACGAACATTTAAAAAGAATTGAAAAGGCAGGTTCTGAGTTCGCATCCCTTAGGAGCTGAAATTAAGTGGTGTAGGACCCAGGAGAGCCTGCCAAGGCAACCCGAACCAGCGGCCAGCAGAAGCCAAACTTGAGGGAAGGTAAACGCCAAGGTCATCTCTGCGCCACTGGCCACAGTGGTGCCAGAGCCAAAGGTGTGGCTGTAGAGAAGCCATGGGGCAGAGAGGCACAGGTTGGGGAAAGGGGCGTCTAGGGACAGCAGAGGCCTCTGCTCCTTGCCTAGAGAACGACATTGTTCCAAGAACCCAGTGGGCACAGTGTCTGGAGGTGAATAAAATACTCATTGCCCAGGCACTCACTTGATAAATAATGGAATTTATAAGCTTGCAGACTCAAGCTGGGCCAGGAGAGGGTGCAGTTCGGAGCCTATGGACCCTGTTTGCTCTGATCCCTGTCCCGTACTGAACGCTCTCTGAACCTTCAGAGTCTGGCTCCTGACGGTGACAGGATCAAGCATGACAGCATGAGCAGTCGTCTGAAGGACATGGAGAGGGAAGCCCTTAAATCTGTTGACCCTCCAGAAGCAACTTGAGGATGGATTCCTGGAGGTGTGGGATTCAGGGTGGCTGTGGTGAACCCTGACCACAGGCTGTCACTGGCTGTGTCCTGCAGTGGCAATGGTCTTGGCCTCAGTCTCCTGTCTTGTGAAATGGGCTCATGCTGCCAGCACACAGACTGCTGAGTAATGAAGCTAAGGGTAGCTGATGCCACTGTCCCTAGCTCTAGACTTTCGGAGCCTATTCTCTGGCTCCCATGATCCCCTGAACCTAGGGGTGGCCTGCCTCGCCTAGCTGTACGGAAACGAATGACAGAAGAGATGTGATCACACATGGGCAGACACTTGAGACCCTCAGGGCAAAGTTGGCCATCAGTAACCGTAGGAACCCAGCCCACCAGACATACAGCCCCTTATCCTGAGAAATGCCGCTTGCACTGGGAGTAATTTAAAAACTCAGCGGGAGCCTCCAGGGGAACAGGCAGGGTTAGACCAAATGCCTATGGAAAGGGTGCTGGAGGGGAAACAGGGTAGGAGAGCTAGAAGAGTTTGGGGTGTCCTACTCCAGGTTCCCCTCCTGAGAGACGGCTGTATCTAGTGGAGATGAGGCGCAGGTGGGTGCTAACAGCTTCCCAGACTCCTGTCTCAGTCTGTTGCTTGTAAGTGTAACTAATTGTCTGAGGTACCTGCCGGGTTCATCTCAGGCCAACCTGGTGCGTGGAAGTTATCTCTTCTGGCCAGCGGAAGATGAGGACCCTGCAGTCCTCTCTTCCAGTCTGCATGTTAACAATAAGGCTTATGTGGGTTCTGAGATGTGTAGACCTGTAAGGTGAGGGTCTGCACCCTGAACCTGTAGAGTTTGTCACTGGATGTCTAAGAGTTTGGGAAAAGCAGGAGAGCCCAGAAGGAATAAGATATGAAGGGTTAGAGTCTGGGGTCCAGGATAGCATAAACATTTCCATGGCAGTCCTCGAAGTCAGGGACCTCAGATAGACCTGCCTTCCTGTGCCTGGAGGCAGCCTGTTTGCATACCTTCAGGGACAGGGCTCTCTGCCCAGAGGAAGTGGCAGCCATGTGCCGGGTCCTGGACTCTGCCTTTGTATGCAAAGATCTCTCCTGTTACCGCACAAAGCACTGAGGGCCCCAAAAGGATGCCTGTGTGTGCGCTGGGAAAGGGCACCTGTCCCAGTGGTTCTCCCCTCATGCAAGCCTGTGGGCAGAAAAGAGGTCAGAAGGGGTCAGAACAGAGCAGAGAGGCCAGAATAGAGATGAGTTCCCTGTCCCTCATTTCATGGCTCGGCCACTGAGATTAGCTTGGCACCAGCCCAGGGCACAGAGGGAAATGCTTTGTTCACAGGGAGTGTGTGAGAGGTGAAGAGAGACATTGTCTCTGGAGGACTGGCCTTAGGGAGTTCCTTAGCACCTGCCACCACCAGATCTGTGTGACACTGGGTCCAAGTGTTAGGGGACTAGGGTGGGGGAGGCATTAGGGGTGGTAGGTGGAGAAACTTCTTCCATGGCCCAGCCAGGTCTCTGGCACTCATGGCCCACAGCACCCCATCATGTTGAGCCTAAGTGATGATAAGCCAGCTGCAGTTTAACTGGTAATTAATCCTGGACAGGGCAGCAATGGCGTTACTAATTGGATCGTTAGAGATTTGTGCTTTATGGCTGCGTAATTAGAGAAGCTGTAGGGGGCCAGGGTGAACTGGAGGGGGGGCATGCGGGGTTGGGGGCAGGGCACAGCAGACAGCACCCCTTACCATGCCATAGCTGGGTCACCACAGAGCCTCTGGTCTGCTCTCCTTTCATGCTAGGGCCTTAGGTATGTGAGTAGGGGCTGGTAGTAACCCCCCCACACTGCCTCTCTGAAGTCTCAACCCCATCATACTGGGAGGCAAAGACTTTTGCAAAGTGCTACTTGAGGACCCCAATCTCATAGCCCAGCTCTGTAGTCCTCCAGGCTCACAGGGCTAGCTATAAAAGGTCTGCATCTAATTGCTTATTGTTACCTTTCTCAGTGCCAGGAATGGAGCTCAGGGCCTCCCACACAGTGGACACGCTATCACCACACATCCCTAGCCCCCAAAGGAGGACTTCAGAATAGGAAGGACTCTGGTGTCCACTCTCTTAGTCAATTCTCAACTGAAGACACCCTTCCGTGTGCTCTATGACACATGTGACTCGTGCTGACTAGCCCCGGGCACCAACATGAGGTCAGTTTTCATGCACACATGCGAACCATGTGGGCAGTGTGAGGAATTGGGGGGGGGCTGGTCCTGGCCCAGTCTCATGGGATAGACATTGTAAATGCATTGTGGGAAATAGGAAGAGGGCATTCCTTAGATGGAACTCACCAAAAAACCTAAAACAGTCCTGGCACTCAACAGGTATTTGATGGACTAACTGATGAAAAAGGGGAGCCTGGAAGGCAGACCACCGGGTCCCTGTCCCCCAGGCCATGCCCATTGGGTCCCAGCCTGCAGTGCGCCCTCCAGCGCCTACCTGTCCAAGCTGAAGCGCTCCCAGGCCAGCAGCCCCTCTTTCCTCACTGGCTACCCTCACCCTCTCCCTGCCTTACCTGTTCCCGACACAAGCCAGGTCCCTCCCGCCTCAGGGTCTCTGCACTTACTGCCATCTGCCAGAAAGCCCTCCCCTTAGAATCCATGGCTCACTCTTTCAGGTCTTAAATCAAAAGTCTGAGGTCCGTCCGTCCTTCTTTCCTCCCTTCCTTCCTCCCTTCCTCCCTCCCTTCCCCGTCTCTTCCCCTTTCTTTCCTCCCTTCTTTCTTTTTCTTTAAAGATTTTTTTGACTGTGTATTATGTGTTCTTTGCGGTATGTGGACCACACGTGTGCAGGTGCCTGCCTGGGTCAGGAGAGGGCATCAGATTTCACAAAGCTGGAATTACAGGTGTTGTGAGCCACACAGTGTGGGCACTGGGAACCAGACTTGGGTCCTCTAAAAGTCACCTTTAAGATGGTTCTTCTCAGCCGGGCGGTGGTGGCGCACGCCTTTAATCCCAGCACTCGGGAGGCAGAGGCAGGTGGATCTCTGTGAGTTCAAGGCCAGGCTGGACCGACAGCCTCCAAAACAATACAGAGAAACCCTGTCTCGTAAAACCAAGAAAAAAAAAAAAAGATGGTTCTTCTCTGATCGCCGTCGCTTTAAACTGACCAAGCAACCAAACAGACAAGGGATGCTTCGTGTCCTCACCCTGGCAATAGTGTGCTTATTAGTGTGACCCACAGCAGACGCGTGCACCTTTCTAGTCCAGTCCTGGCTTTGCTTGCTGCTGTAATGACTGTTGAATAAAATGAAGAATTTGAGGCTGCTTACAGAAGTGTCCCTGGGAGGCAAAAACTCGGGCAGAGCAAAGGCTAGTGACATGGACAGGGTGGTGAGTAGGATACCCCGGCCTGAGGTCGGTTCCTGGCTGACCCAGCTCCCACTCCTCAACCCCCAACGGCACCACAGCAGGAGACAGTGCCCCAGCACCTCATACCAGCCAATTGCTTAGGAGGAAGGGTTTGGGAGATAAAAACCTTGTCCGGCCAAATAGGGCAGCCGCCACCTTCAGCTAGGTCACTCTGTGGGCTCTACCTGACTCTTTTACCTCCTCCTACAAATGGCTGCATCTGGATTGGGCCTTGGGGTCCCAGGATGGGCCCTCCTTGGCAGACACTAGACCCTAGGTTGTAGGAAGGAACCGTCGTGGCTGAATCCCTCCAAACACAGGTGAGTAGTGCTGAGCCCGGAACACGCTGCCCACCTGCCCGGTCTGGCTGCCTCAGCACGGCCAGGTGATGTATGACCCACTGCCCTGCCAGGAAGTGACAGCAGATGAATGGGCAGTGCTGGGAAACGGGCTCAGAGCCAGATGCTGTGAGCATAGGAGACGGGCGCCTGGCTCTGGAGAAACCATTCCGGGAACGCCGACTCCTGACCCAGGGCAAGACGGGAGGCGGGGACTGTCTTGGGCATGGTGCCCATGTACTAGTCTTCAATGTGGGGCAGTGCAGAGAGTGAGAGTTGCAGGGGGGTTCTCGGCCCCAGTCCTCGTCTGTAAAGTGGCCAACAAGGAACCATGAGTAGACAGCATGGGCTGTCCAGAGAGAGACAGCCCTAGACTCAGGCCGCTGCAGCCCAGCACTCAAGTCCTGGCCCCTGAGACCCCGCTTCTTCCTCTCTGCACCCCTGAATCTGAACCCTCCCTTAGCTTATGGAGAATCAGGCCTGGAAAGCCCCCAACACCCTCCCTCCCATCTCCCAAATAGGAAACTTAGGAGGAGGACTTGGCAAGGTCAGGGCCAGACTGAGAATCCTTGTGGTGGGTTTCGAAAGGGGTCTTCTCCTCACTGTGGTCCTGGGTGCTAAGTGACAGCCGCCTTTGCTGCCCAGCAGGGATAAGGGACAATCAGGGCAGCGCTGGGTACAGGGAAGGGGGCTGGGGGGCAGTGCAGCTGCTGTGACCGAGTTGGGATGCGCCAGACGCCTCTGTGAGCTCTGTCTGCATCCAAGGAGACCAGGACATCAGGCGGACGGTGTGTCCTTGCAGCCAGGGCCTGGAAAGGGATAAGGAGGGGTGTCATTCTGGGGACCCAGGCTGCTTGCAGGACCAGGCAGTGTCTCCTGCCATCTGCTCCCTTATCCTGCTCCCCAGGGGATTCTGGACACTATGTGGGGCCTCCAGGGACTACGGACCTGTGACACAGGTGTACACAGACAGATCCAGGTGGTACAGACACAACTTGGTGGCTGAGATTGCACACAAGCATGTTTGTCGTCACTGGATATGTGGTGGGGTACATGCATGAACGGTTTGACAGCTGGATCCCCAGAACACAGGTGTTGGCAGAACAGGTGTGGACACATGTGGACATGTGGCCAGTGTGAGTGTGCACACACTATTCACATCTGGATGGGCCATGTTTGCTGCACACATATATGTGTGAATACACACTCAACATGCATGAAGTGCTGCCTACAACAATCCCAGACAGATGAAGAAGGCCAGCCCCCATTGTCAGACGGGGAAACTGAGGGCAGGTTGCTGGGATCCTGTGTAGGAGTCTAGGTAACTGAGCCCTACTCTGTCCTCTGCAAAAGGTGGCAGTCATGCTAGAAAGTGTCCCTCCCGTGAGGGCTGGGGAAATGACTCATTGCTAAGGAGCACTGGCTGCTTTTCCAGAGGACACAGGTTCGATGCCCAGAACCCACGTGGTGCCTCACAACCATAAAACTCCAGTTGCAGGGGATCTGACATCCTCTTCCAGCCTCCGTGGGTACCAGGCACACATGTGGTCACACACATACACGCAGACACCAAGGTAGGACAGATCCCACAGGAAGGCTTTGGCGTTAGAGTTGGTCAGGGTTGCTTGAGTCCCCTGCCGCAGACCACCTTTGGAGAGGGGTCACCTCACTTGGTCCCCAGTCTCCTCATTTGTGGAATGGAGTCCCCTTCCCTCCCACCATCTTGCTGGACAGAATTGGTGAGGTCTTAAATACCACATCTTCCCATGAGTCAGGGCTGGGGACAGAAGCTCACCTTAGGGACAAGGCAATGGTCCTAAGCTGCACCCCAGGCTGCACCGTGCATGGGCTCTCCTGCTGGACTGACATCTGGGAGAGGAGAGGAGCCTGAGGCGGGGATGAGGGCGCCGAGGGGATGTGAGGCTGGGCGGCAGGCCTTCTGGTTTGGTTAGTGAAGGGATTTGTCATTTTAACGATGTGATATTTCTTGGCTGGCTCCTGTCAGAGGTAGCAAGAGGGGGACAGCTGCCTCTACAAGTGAGAAGGTGCTGGAGTGGGCAGGCCTGACACCCAAGTCTGTCCATGTCCAGGCTGAGGTGGAGGAGGCTGGAACTTAGGGAGGAAGGGGCCGAGAGCTCTCACTTCCAGCTCTGCAGGCTGCTCTGTGCGACCTTGGGTGAGTCCTGCCCTCTCTGAGCTTGCCGCACCTCTAGGCTGGGACTGGTACCCAGCTCCTGGCACAACCGCTGTTGACCCCAGTGTGATCCCTCCTCTCCCGACCCCTGCTCCCTCACACTGCCGTGGTCTCACATTTGCTGTTTCCATCCTTGTTTCTAGAACTTTGCATGAGCTACTTGTATACCTGGTGTCCCGTCAGGTCTGAGGAGGTGTCCAGTCACCCTGTCTCCCTGCAACTCCGTGACTGCGCATGTCCAACTCGATTGGGTTTAGCACTGTGGTTCCAGCACACAGTAGGTCCTGGATAAGTGTGTGTTTGCTGAATGATTGAATGAGCAGCCCCAGACCTGCCCTCCTGATTGCCTAGCACAGCCTCGTGAGGTGGCAGTGAGGTGGCCTGGTGGCGGCCTATCCATCAGCCTGGCGTGTGCCTGACCAGATGGGGCTGAGTGGGGGTGGGGGGAGGGAAGATTCATCACCCACAGTAGGTGGCAGGCCTGTGGGTGTGCCTATCCAGCCCCTGGTGGGATCCCCATCCATCACGCTGTACCAGGGACTCCAGGAGGGGAACAGGCTTTGGCCTCAAAGCAGGCTTCTTAGGGTGGGTCCTGCAGGTCTCTGCTCTATACTGCAAAGGGGAAACTGAGACCTACAAGGTCACACACGTTCGACATGGGGATCTAGGGTCTGAACAATGAACGTTTGAGTGACACCTCCAAGACTCACTTGTTTGACCCTCAGAGAGTTGTGGGAGCTGGGAGCCCACTTCTCCGTGGGGAGCAGTTCTGTGGGGAAAAGCTCAGTGCCCAGCATACAGACTGCTCAGGTCAGGTCATGACCCCAGGCTAGAGGAGGAAAAGGTGACTCCCAGTGGCAGGGCCACCAGGGGGAAGGAGACTTTGATGGATGCTCTTTCTGCTACTGAGGCTGCGGGAGGGTCAGTCAGTGGTGACCAGGCCCTCAGTGATCACAGCTCAGCTGGCTGACCAGCTGGCCTGGGGGACATCATGCTGCAGTCTCTCCCAGCTTTTCAATTACAGGAAGAAGTCCTTTCTGAGTCGTTTCACCTGTGCTGCACGATGACCCTCTAGCCTGAGACCCTCATCCAGGACTCACCCAGGCAGGACTCCCACGGGCAGGACTCGATGCTGGGCAAGAGGGTGGACAAGGAAGCAGGCATGGGTCACTTGCTTGCCCTGGGCCCTGGGGAAGTTCCAGGTGGGTCTGAGCTGTGCATCGGCAGATGAAGGAGCGTGTTAGAGACGTTAGTCCTTTGGTGTCCCAAGCTCCCTGGCAGTTACAGGCTCAGCACCAGGCCCGTGCATGTGAACATCATTTCATCCACTCGTCCACGGCAGACACTGACGGTTCTGGTTCCCAGTGAGCTAACCCAAGCTCAAAGAGCTATCATGACTTTGGGGGGATCCTGCAGCTGGAGGGGAGAGCAGCATTTGGGCTTACAACTTGTGTTCTTGTTTCCCTACCAGGGTGTACCATGACCGCTGTCCTCTTCAGTGTCCTGCTGCTGGGAGTCTGGTAGACCTAGGACTGTCCCTCCAGACTCTGATACTCCCTGTCCCACGCTGCTGAGTCCCCAGAGGATTGTTGGCCACATCTGGGTAACTCAGGGAAAGGAGTCCTGTCCTGTGGGGATAGTGGTTTTCCTCTGAGGCTAAGTGCAGGATGAACACAGGCATGGGAGGTAATGGGGCTGAAATCACATGGGCCCTGAGCCTATTCCCTTCCATCATACAAGTGAGCGGAGCACACAGGGCCTTCGGGCTCCCACGGTGCCTCGGGTGAGGACTGAAGCAGGAGCTGCTGCAGTCCCTGGGCTGTGGTGTGCACACTGTCCAGGCCTCTTCTGGGATTGCCATGAGGAATAAAGCTTGATGAAGAATGCAAAGGCTGCCTGACACGGAGGGGCACACCTCTAACCCTGGCACTCGGGAGGCAGAGAGGCTGGCGGATCTCTGTGAGTTCAAAGCCAGCCTGGTCCGCAGTGTGAGTTCCATGACAGCCAGGGCTGCCTAGTGAGACTCTGCCTTAGGGCAGAGACTGGCCAGCAAGGTGGTTCAATGGGTAAAAATGTATTAATAATTAATAATAATAACAAATTAAAATCTTGTAATACATAGTCTAGGTATGTGTGGTGCACACCTGTAATCTGGACACTTGGGAGGGAGGAGCAAGACAACCACTGAGTCTGAGGTAACCCGGGCTACATATTGAGTTCTGGGCCAGCTGGGGCTACATAGGGACACTCTGTCTCAAGCAAGCAAGCTGATGCCAAGTGAATGCTATGAATCTACGAGGCAGAGACAAAGATCAGGAGTCTGAGGTCATCCTCACATCTATTGTAAGTTTGAGGCCAGCCTGGGCCATATGAGATACCCCCTAAAAATAAACATTTTCAAAATGCCAAGAGCAACACAGACTGCTACTGTTACTAATTACTCTTACATTTCTCAGGCCTGACCAGAGCAGGTGTTTAGGAGACAGTGGTCCCGATCCCATGAACACAGGTCTGTGTTTGGATCCCCTGGAGGAGGCTTGGGTGGTGTCGGGGTGGGCTGTGAGGAGCTGGGGGGAGGCTGGAGGAGCCCAGGAGGGACTCTGCTGTCCAGCGAGAGGAGAGTCTCTAATGAAGTGAGTTAGCTCCAGGCCACACTGATTTCATGTCTCGATGGCCACTTCTCAGCTGGTAAATGTCACTGGAGAGCAGCAGACACGCCTGGCAACGGCCCAGCTGCGGATGGAGGGGCCGAGGACACCCTGGGAATGCTGATGCAGGGCCAGGGTCCCCGTGCCTGTGGGCTCCCTTGCCAATATTCCAGGAGGGCTGTACCCTCCAGGCTGCAGCTCTGCCACCAGCTTGGGGATGCTTGTAAACGCCAGAACAATGCAGACTCCAAGCTGGTTCTCGGCTGGCCTCAGTTGCCATGTTCTTCACTTTCAGAGGCTCCAAAACAGGGGCCCAGCTGCCCCGGGCTCCTGAGTGGGAAGTAGAACCATGCAGAGCCCTCCCTGTCTTGAGCTGTCACCTTCAATAACCGATCCAGGACAAGCAAATAGCACACAGCTATAACCACACAGCAGCCGACCTCGTTTAATACACTCTTGCTGCAGCAGGCATTGGCTCAGAACCAAGGTTCCCTGATCTAACGCCCCAGGAAGGCCCCGTAGTGGGCTCAGAAGAGACTCTTGTTGGGAAGGGATGCGAAACCGAGAGGCCAAGCCTCAACCTGGCCAGAGCATCCTCACACGGTCCTTGTGAACCCCACCAAGTTCCTACTCCAGTATATCTCAAGTCAGCTTCCTAAGGTGGGAGCTTGCTCTGCAAGTCAGGATGTCACCTTTTCATGGCTCATTGTTCTATCCTGGATAGGGAAGCCACAGGAGCGAAGGGGGTTCCCTGAAGATTTGGAGGCACGAGATAGCTCATCTCAGATAAGAGCAGAGGGGAGGCATTTGCTCCCCACTGCATCCCTTTTCTCTTCTTCCCGAAACTCAGTCTCCAGGTCTAAAACCTGCAAAGTGCAGCCCAGCTTATGCCTATCCCAGACATGCCTGGGCTCCTCCCAGAGGAGCCAAGAGGAGTGGCCTTGGAGGTGACATGCAGCTGCCAGCCAGGTCCCCTGAGAAAGCTGATTTCCACATGGAGCTCACCGGGGGGTTCAGCCAGTGGGCACCCTCCCTGAGTAGTGGCTCACAGTTCCTACCTTCTGGCATCCCCCACCCAACTCTCTTCCTTTACCTTCTCAATTTGCTCCTTAAGGTGCTGGGTCCCAGCTATGTGGGAAGAGGCACGGCAGGGCCTGCTGAACGTGGCTGGTAAAGTTGGACCATAATGCCAGACGGGGCAGCGCACAGCTGTCTTCCAGCTCCACCGGGAACTGCTCCCTGCCCTTGTTCTTGGCATCCCCACGTGGAGAGGGGAGCCCTGGAATCCCCTGCCACTCTTCTCCTTCCATGGGAAAAGAAGAGGGCGGAGAGCAAAGCCGTATTAATAAAAGAATAGAATGCTGCAACTAACTCTGCGCTGGGTGTGCAGCCCAGAATAGCAATGGGCTTTCTCAAGGCAAACAGAGCTCCCCAGGTGTTAATGCAAATTCACTCGCTTAAGATGAAAGAGGGTTGTTTCCCCCTTTGCTGGTTAATATGAAGGACTTAATAGATTCAGCCTAGGGAACTGGGGATCTCAGCTTGGGAGCTGAGGGCTGGGAGGAGGGAGGGAGGGGAGGAATCGGGTGTGGTCCCCCGTGGATTTCAAAGCAGAACAACTGTCACAGCAGGCCAGGCTGAGGACTCAGCTCTTGACACTCCGTCCCCCATCCTGACTGACAGGACCTGGGACTCAAGAGGCAGAGCACTGGGAAATCTGGAGTGGCCATGCCAACCTTCTGTACTGGGGTCTCTAAGGTCCTTCCCAAGCTGTGCCAAGAGAATGTAGGGCTAGGAGGGAAAATGGGGAGAGGTGGGTATTCCTAGCATAGGCCAAGCTGGCTGGGTCTAGTCCATCTCCACATTCATCTTTTATTTCCCCAAATGGCGACTCTCTTGACAGAGTCTAGGAAAACCAGGCTGTGAAACTGAAATGAGGGGACCCCAGAATTCCTATGCAAATGTGACCTGTACAGCCAGCCGAGGCTCTGGAGCCCAGAGAGGAGACCAGGCTTCCTCAAGGCTGCACAGCTAAAGCTGGGAGCTGGGGGGCTGAGAGCTCTGCCTGCAGCAGCTCCTCAGGACTTTCCAGCCTCTGCTCCCAGCCTGTAGACCCTCGGGCCTGGACTAAGCCATGCAGCCCAGAGCATCAAGCTTTTCACGCAAGCTTCCCAGGGTACCACTCTCCACTGAAAACTACTCCCTCATCAGGACCTCCAGCGAGGAAAGGCTGGAGCCGCTCCGTGTGATGCTTAGCGCCCATAGGTAAGTGCCGGGAGCTCCAGATAGAGCTGGGGATAGAGGAACTTGGAGAGAGCCAAGCTGTGCTGACCCAGTGTTAGAATTTAACTCAAGTCTCTCAGGGCACAGCAGGTATCTGTCACAAGACACCCCCACAGCCCGCTCTTGCTTTTGTTTACTGACTTAATTCCTTCAGATCAAAGGCTGCCCCTTCCTCCCCAATGGGGGGGGTAGTGGATTACATTATTTATATTGGAAATGGGCAAGGTTCTGTGGGGACTACTCCCTTATGCCTGATAAGAGAAAATTAGGTCACTGCCATCTCTCTTTAGTGTCTGCTGCATGATCTTTCAACCTAGGTGCCGTGGAGGGGGCGAGAGCTCCGTATGCTGCCCGTGGTCCATCCACAGCCTCCTGGCCTGAATCTCCAGTAAATTATTGACCCAAGTGGAGAGTATTAATGTGGCACAATAACATCCTTCCAGGGCAGCCCCAGGCTGGGTTATCTATCATCTCGTGGGCTCTGCAGCTGGCACTGGGCAAACACTGAGGACAAATAGACCAGATGCAAGGTCATTAAGCTCCAGGTGCAGGAGGTGAGGTGGGGCCCACGTGGGGCAGTGGGTACGCCTGGTGCCTCTGACTGTGACTTCCTTTGGTCACCCTGGTCCTTTTCTCTGTGTCCTTCTACCTCAGTCCTCCAGAAGGCACTATTCAGAGAAAGTCAGCACCCTGGAGTGACCACATGTCTAGGTCCTATGCTTAGGGCCTTCTAGGCATCATTAATCTCTACAACATTCTTTAAAAGTCCTATTGATGGCAGCCAAACATGAAACCACTTGCCTAGGTTGGAATGGCTAGTAAGTGGCTGAGCAGGTGTGGGACCCAGGCTTACAGGGTCAAAAAGGGTTTTGAGTCTCTCTGCTAGGACAAGACTTGTCCCCAGTGCCCCAGAGGCTGGCGATAAAGAAGCTTCCAGATGCCAATGATGGCACATGCCTGCTATCTCAGCAGTTGGGAGGGGAGGTGGAAGGATTTCCTTGAGTTCAAGGCCACCCTGGAATAGAGGAAGAGCCTGTCTGAAAACAAAAACATTCTGCTCCTTCATGCCATTCCTGCTCTTGCATGCCCACACCACATTTTTCTGAGAAACTGGAATACTTACTTTGTTTTCTTGACACTCTGTAGACCAGGCTAGCCTCGAACTCACAAAGATCTGCCTGCTTGAGTGCTAGGATTAAAGGCATGTGCCACTTATGCCTGGCAATTAAATTTTTTTATTATTGTCTTGGAATACTTGAATTTTTTTTTTTTTTGGTTTTTCGAGACAGGGTTTCTCTGTGGCTTTGGAGGCTGTCCTGGAACTCGCTTGGTAGTCCAGGCTGGTCTCGAACTCACAGAGATCCACCTGCCTCTGCCTCCCGAGTGCTGGGATTAAAGGCGTGCACCACCAACGCCCGGCTAATACTTGAATTTTTTATTACACATATTTATTGGGGGACAGCATGTTGTGGTGCTTGGGTAGAGGGCAGAGAACAATTTGTGAGAGTCGGTTCTCTCTTTCCAATATCTGGTGGATCCTGGGATAGACTCTAACAGTAAATGTCTTTACCCACTGAGCCCTCTTGTGGCTTTGGAGTACTGTTTTTCATCTGTCAATCACTTTTACAGAAGTGATGGAGGGCTTTGCCCTGGGGTGAGAGCGTGCTATGGCTGCACAGAGCTGGTAAGTGGAGGCTGGGGTTCTGGGATTTTGTGGCTCTTACCTCAAGGTTCTCAGGCGGCCCTGAAGTCTACCTGGCAGCAGCAGGCAAGGTACTATTCTGGGGTCACCACTCCAGTGAGAAATGGGCATCCAGTGGAAACAGGAGAGGAACCAGCGGGGGTCCTCTCTGAGCCAGATAGAGACCTTGCTGTGCTGATAAACGGTCCCATAATTTGCTAGCACTGCCCTGCCACCACGCTTTCTCCCTACAGGGCTGGGGCTGCAGCCTCGGGATCCTGCCATAATGCAGTCATGACAGGCTGCCAGGGAGCCCCACACAGCAGGGAGGGCGGGGGAGAGCCCTATTGCTGTCTGCAGGGAGACAGGGAGCTGAAGGCAGTGATTTTCTCTTCTCCAGACTGCAAGGCATTGGATCAGACAGGGTTGCAGCAATTTTCTGTCAGAACCTTCTGCCCTTCTAGACGTGGGTTTCATTACACGTGGGTGACTCCTAATCTGATCTTTCCCATGAAGGCTTCTAGGACACACCGCACTGGGGGACAGCTGCCAGGCACTCCCCACTCGAGAAGCACAAGGCAGAGGAGGGAGTGCTGGCAGGGAGGCCACAATGACAGCAGCGGACAGCATGGCGCTGGGCGGCAAACGCCACAATGAAGCACCCAGGTCCACGCTACCTGGAGTTGACATCATAGGTCAGAACAATTGAAAACACTAGAACTCAGGCAATCTGTTCCACACCACGATGCCAGGCAGAGCCTGTCACTCCATGCCAGGTGAACACCTGTCATTCCAGCACTGGGGTGAGGGAGGCAGGGCAGGAAGATGGGGGCTAGCTTGGACTACATAGAGTTTCAAAATAATGGAACTACCAGCCAATACTGTCAGTCCCAGCTCTGCTTGACAAGACGTCAGTGTGAGCAGTTTGGGCTACTGGGGTTTCTTTAAAGAGTCAGGTAAAAATACTGCTGAAGATGCCCAGTATATACAGAGCAACTCCTCTCTGCTTGGAAGTCAGGCCCCTCCAGTTATCAGAACTAACATTGCATGACGATAGTCCTAGCACTGGGGGTGGAGGATGGAGATGGGAGAACAGGAGTTCAAGGTCATCTTCAGCTGTACATGAGACATTTTCTCAAAAAGAAATTGTTTTGCAAGGCATAGTGATGCATGCCTTTAATCCCAGCATTCAGAAGCAGAGGCAGCTAAATCTCTGAGTTTGAAGACAGCCAGAACTACATAGTATGATCCTGTGTCAGCGAGAACTACATAGAGAGATTGTGCGTCAAAAAACAGTGTGGTCTAAGCTGGATGTGGTGGTGCATATCTTCAATCCCAGCATTCAGGAGTCGAGGCAGGAGAATCTGAGTTCAAGGCCAGCCTGGTCTACAGAGCAAGTTCCTGGACAGAGAAACCCTGTCTTGAAAAGCCCCCCCCCCCCTCCAAGTAGCAAAAAACCACCCCCCAACCAGTGTGGTTTAATCAGTTACGAGTTTTATATTCAAAGCTAGCAAAACATTGCCAAAACTTTTATAATTGTTATAACATCATTCCCAAATATATAAAATAGTATTTAACTCAGATCCCGGGAAATAAGAATCAAACCAGGCATTATCACTCAGTGATGGAGACAGATTCTGAAATGCAATGTTGGGTGATTTCATTGTCTCACACATGTCATAACGTACTCAGACTGTAGTTTCTAGGCTATGCAGCCTATGGAACCACTGGATGTGAGTTGATCCTAACGATGGCATCACAAGGGAGTATGACTTAGTCTGTTTACTTTTGGAGACAGGCTGGCTTCAAACTCAAAATCCTCCTGCCTCAGCCTCTTGAGAGCTATATAGGTGTGTGCCGTGGAATATTTTAAGCAACAATACGGTGACACACAACCATCCACAACTCCAGTTCCAGGGGATCTGATGTCTTCCAACCTCCGTGGGTAACAGACACAACCCACACGTGGTGCACATATATACATGCAGGCAAAATATACATAAAATAAAAATAAGGCTAAAAACAAGACACCAGTGACAGACTCTTGCACTTAGGATTTTTATTTAAACAATCACTTAAATTACAATCACCCCACCCCAAATAGAAAACAGCTCTATATTCTGGGCCCAACAAGAGTGAATGGTTCCATAATAAAAAATAAACAGAGGAATGGAAGCCCATGGGCGCTGTGCTGTCTTGGCCTCAAGGCACCTGGAGAGGCTGGGCACCCACCTCCATCCCCATGAAAGCAGTTTGCACCAGGGGTTCTGAGCCTCTGGCCCTGTTGGCAAGGACAGTTAGTCACTGCTGTTGGTTGTCAGCCTCTGGACCTTTCTGAAAGTGAGGGAGCAAGAGAACCCTGTCTATAGATGATAAAACAGTAACTCAAATAGTGTTATGTGTATCCACGGGGGCTGTCCAGCAAGGCCTGGCTAGTACGTGAGTAACTGAGCAGTGACCTGGGTTCAGAGTGCTGTTGTGGCTGAGGTATGACCTTAGACAGGATACAGAGTGGCCACAGGCCAATAGCAAAGCCTCAGTGTCCCGCACTGAGCAGTGACTGTTTCGGAATCGCGGTACCTCTGCATGAGAGTCATTGCAGCTAGAAATGAAACATTCAGGGCTGGAGCCCACTTCCTTGGAGACCATCCTCCTTGACTCGTAACCGCCTACCAGAAAGGATGAAGCCACAGACTCAAAATGGGCATAGATTTCAGTCCTCCTCCTACTGGGGCTGGAGACACTCTGAGGACCCCAGCTTCTCTCTCCAAGGGAGCTGAGGTGATCCTGACTGAATGGGTTTCAGGTCCCACCTACAAGGCAATGGTTACACCTGCCACTGCTCAAATACCAAGGTTCCCATGTGGTTATGTAGCTTGGCATTACCAAAATTTGAGACACAAACAGTAGTTAAATAAAAATAAAAACAAAAAACAAGGCCTGACATAATTTTTAGAAACCAGCATCATAGTCCTGTGTCCATAGCCATTGTCAAAGATTCAATTTACAGAGGAAGCAAGTCAGGCCTGGAGGGAAGTCAGAGATGGGTTTCAAGCTCCAGAAGACAGCTCAACATGAGAGCCAGGGCAGACTTGGCAAATGGCAGAGTGGCAAGTGCGGAGGACTTTGCCTTAGGTCCCAGACTAGAGTCCTAACCTAGGTGTCCAAGGAGCTGGGGTGGCTACTATGGCAAAGCGGCCGAAGGAGCAGCCAGTCAGTGGGAACAAGGTAGTGTACCTCAGTTTCTCAAAACCAAATTGTACCGTGGAGCGCTCCTTTGCTCCTAGTCCCTCAACCCAGCTTCTTGAGTTCACACACATCTTTTCATGGACTGAGGCACATCACCGGCTCTGTTAGGACCTGAAGGGCCTTGACTGGCCACGGGAGTGACACCCATTACAAAGAAGGTAGACCCAATCACGGAGTGTGAGCCACATGGTATGCATTTGCTGCCCAGCATGGAGACAACCCATAGGGTTAACCCATGAGACCACAGAACTGTGAGCGGACACCCAGCCAGGTGAGGGAAAGAAGGGCTCTCAGGGAAGACAAGGGCAGTGGGGTCCAGGGATTAGCGAGAGCTGTGAAGAATATGATGGGATAGGAGCAGGGCTCTGGAGTTCCATGTGCTCAATGGGATAATGGAGGCCCTGGTGGGAATGGGACCAGGAAACCCCTGGCATACCCCAGGCAAGTGACTGCACCTGAAGGAGTCATGTACACACGTGCCATCAGATCCCACGTGGGCTCCACTCGCCTCCTAGTCCTCCAGCTAGCCAGCAGCTCTCGTCACAGCTTCTGTCTTCAGCCTGCTTCCTGCCATCAGACAGCTACAACACTGTCTCGGGAGCCTGGCTAATGAACCGTCACTGTTGGCTCTAGGCTCAGCCTGGTCAAGCTTCTGCACCATGTCAGGTCCTCCCTGTGGGGGAGTGGGTGGCACCAGCATGGTAGATTTTAGGCAGCCTCCACACTGGACTCCTAAAGCCACTTCCCAAACCAGGCTCTGGAGTGAGTAGCAGGCACTGGGACACTTGCTCCACAATGCCTAGGACGTAGGAAGGATGGCATCCATGCACAACAACAAATACTTCTCAAAGAAAAAACACAAAGAAAAGAAAGATGCAGGCCAGGAGAACTAGAACATCTTGAGAGCTCTCTACAGGGCCAGAGTTCAAAACCAACCGCACACGAAGGGGATGAGGCCCTCTATTCAGAGTTCCCAAACAAGCCAGTCCGCTGTTGATGGCTCCCATGGGGCCAGGCCCATCCCGTCGCTGTCAGGAGCAGCAAAAGTGGCAGATCCTGAGGAGGCTGGGTCACCGCTAGAGTTCTTCAAAGAAGGCCACTCGGGACTTGGCGCTCTGCAGAGTGAGCTGTAAGGAAGAAGGCAGAAGCTGAAAGGAGCTCTGGGTGTCACAGCACAGCCCATCTTGCTGCAGAGAGCAACCTCAAAGGTAGTAGAGTGACAGGGAAGTATTCCCAAATAGGTGTTCAAGATACCAGCAGTTCAAGATATGGATCCAGATGGACCTCAGGATTCAAATGAAAAATGACAAATGGCAGGCCAGAAAGGACGGCTGGTGGGCAGATGCACTGCAGAGGGGACATGTCTATCACATGAGCTTTTCCCAGAGGAGGGAGTCTAGCTTGTGATTCTCGTGTTTCTTTGGCTCTGAACACTAACTCTCATCCTGTGCTGTGTAGTGCACCAACTTCTCTGGGCTGAGGCCCAGGTTGGCACCACAGGCCTTTCAGTTCTTACACCTAGGGCAAGGTGCACAGCTTCAGGCAAGGAGGGGCTGGGCTCCTAGTTCAGGGTGACCTCCAAGCAGACTTGCCCATGGCCTGGAAGTCAAGATGAAACAGTCTCCTTCTCTGCAGGACAGGTGTCCTGGGCAGTGCCTGACAGGTCACCCTACCTCCCAGGAGGATACCACCCAGGAAAATGGAGAAGGGGGCAGAGGCAGATATGCCTTCCCAAGTCCCTGACTCTGCAGCTGCCTCCCAGCCTCTCCCCAGACAGAAGCATCTGGCATAGGCACCTGTTTCTCGCTAGTCCTGCAATGGAGCCCTGGGGGGCAAGATTATGTTGATGCAGCCCCAGAGCTCCCCAGAAAGGAGTGTCAGCAACGGCACACTGTCCATCTCCATCCCCCAACCTTTACCTTAGAGCTTGGCCCTAGTGGGGGAACGGGAAATGGGCCACGACAGTAACTAAAGGGGAGACAGGAGGCTGTTTCCGTTCCAGCTCACTGTGTGGCCTCAGTAAACACCCTTGACATCTCTGAACCTCAGGCCTCTGGAGGTAAGCCACAGGGCAGGCTAGCTGGAATGGTTCTTCCCTGGGCCCTGGGTAGTCTCAGCCTGAAGAATCCGCTGTACTCACCAAAGCTCTACAAAGGGCAGGAGAGGGAGACTGAACCCACCTCACCATCAAAAGACAGGCAGCATTAGTGTGCGCAAAATGAGACAGCTTGAGAGCCGACTCTTTAAATCCTGCCAAATCTTTTGGCCTTGAAGTTCCCGACTAACAAGCTGGATGCAAGAAGGCATCTGAGCTGTTTTCTTCAGCGGAACCAATTCCAGAAGCTCTATGGAAGCCCAGTTCTGCCAGGAATGGAGAGGGCTTTTCTTTGCTGAGGCAAACACCCTCCAGACGGGAACTGCATTTGGCTAGGTTTTTTCCACGGTGCCAGCAGAGAGGGGACAGTGGGTGTGTGCCCTGTGATAATGGGGACCACGGCGGTAAAGGAGAGGATGGTGCCAGAGATCTAGGACAAAAATCCTCCCTGGGGAAGGCTTATATCAAAAGGTATCCCATACTTCCGGAACAACCTCAAGAGGTTTCTGGGAATAAGGAGCCTGCAGGCAGGGATAGGATATACCCACAGTCACTTCCAGTGAAAATCTACGTGTGTGAAACCCAAGAAACTGTCACAAACCTATTGGTGTCAATTCCCCATAGCGATACAGGGTATTGCAGCTCCTTCTCAGGGTGGCAGAGGAAACACTCAGCATCCACCTGGTTCATACTGAGAACTCATTAGCTGCCATTCCTAATTGTGGCATCAAACCCCTTCTAGGGGAAGCAAATCAGAGCAGAGCCCTGGTTAGACAAGATGCAGGCGGAAGGGCCATGAACTGCGCCAGCCTGAGCCAGGACAGACACTGCCCTGAGGGGCCTGGCTACTTCCCCAGGCATGATGCCCAGGTTGTGGGGACCTCCAAAAGTCTCTTGCCTGTTTCCACAATGTTGGCTCCAAGAATTCCTGGATCCACTACCCCAGCATGCTGGCTGTCCCCTCAAGGTGCTTGGGGAGGGTTTTGGCAGTATCTGATTCCAGGTACTCAAGCATGTACTTAGGATGCAGAGCTCTCTTTTCTTTTCGGGAAGCTGCTCCTCCCAGAATCTCCCCAGTGCCTCACTGCAAGGTAGATGACCTCTTCTCTCACCAGAAGGGTCTGCCCTTAGAAAAGAGGAGAGCACAGCCAACACTGCAGTGTCATGCAGATGAGTGGCCTTTCAGGGGCTCTAGGCTGGTAAGCCCACCTAACAAGGTAGCTGAGAGCCTCCTGTGATCACTGCCTAGATCAGAGGGAGGCTTGACTTACCACACAGTTCCTGGCACTTCTAACTCCATCAGGAAACCCAAAGTCTGTGGAATTTACAGCATGAGCTCACTTCCCATTGCTACAATGCTTCCAGTGGCCACCTCTGACTGCTGCTCCCTCAGCAGTATCCTTTATCTTAAGACATCAAATGCCCTCCTTCTGGCAGGACTGGAGGGCAGAGCTCACGCAGGAGGGAGGCAGTGGCTCAAGGGTATTCTGGGAGAAGCCTTGAGTGTCTCTCTTTCGTCTGCACTCAAGGCACCCGTAAAGGAGGCACTGCACAGCCAAGAAGCCCTTGTTTTGGGGTGCTGCCACCTGTTTCTATGGACTGTGCTCCTGGCTAGACACTCTGTGGGTAAGCTACCAAATGCCACCTGCTCTCTGTGACACAGGCAGGGGTCATCCTAGGAAGCTGGTTATCACACTCCAAGCAGGAGGTGATCATGAAAGGAAAAGTTCAGGCACAGAGGAAGTGACATTGTTTAAGTCCTTCATAAAACCAGCCAACAAATTTCCTGGGTTTCTTGTGAAACTCTCTCATCCAAAAGTCCTTGAGTCCACAGCAACACGTGGGCCGTCTTGTTGCTCAGTGATAGGATTGGATCTCTATGCACAGTACAGTAACATCTCTGCTTCTAAGAGCCAGAGAGCGTCACAGAGATGACTCTACTAAGATTCCAGCCTCAGCAGGGCATGGTGGTGCAGAGGCAGTGGCCCCTGAGTTCAAGTGGTCTACAGAGAGACAATTCCAGGACAGTCAGTGCTACAAAGAAAAAAACATCTGTCTTTTTTTTTTTTTTTTTGGTTTTTCGAGACAGGGCTTCTCTGTGGCTTTGGAGGCTGTCCTGGAACTAGCTCTTGTAGACCAGGTTGGTCTCGAACTCACAGAGAACCACCTGCCTCTGCCTCCCAAGTGCTGGGATTAAAAGCGTGCACCACCACTGCCCGACGAGAAACCCTGTCTTAAAAAAAAAAGATTCCAGCCTCATTTCCTTTCATAGGAGCCTCATATCATGTCACACTGAGTTGAGAGTTGAACCCACTGAAGACCCAGTCAATGTTCATATGCACTCTTTGGCTGTGGAGGTAGGGTGCAGAATCCCAGCTACAGTGTTCACATATGCTTTTGGCTATAGAGATGTATCCCTTCCACGTGGGCTGCAGAATCCCAGCTATAGAGTTCAATATGTATCCTTTGGCTGTGGAGGCAGACTCCTTGAATACAACTAAGATACCGGGAGACTGTCTGGGCAAGGAGAATTCTCTATTTCATCAGGCAGTGAAACCAAGATGCGCAGGACATGGATATGCCACCAGGTCCAGTGTTTCATGCTGGGACCTGCTTTCTGAACAGGCTAGCTGATCTCATACTGATCAGCGACCATTCTACTATGCATAGTCCTTCAAAACTCACACTGGATCCAGACAAGGTCAACCACAGTCATCTGGACATCAGACCTTGCTCCTCCGGGAAGGCTGGAAACACAAGGAACCAGCCCTGAAGATGACTAAAGAATATGCAGCCTCTTCTCCAGGCACTAGGCTGACCTGCTGATCTCTTTAGCTGTCTTTACTTCTGATTGGAATCAGCCCTGTGAATAATACAGGAGGAATTAAGTTCTCTCCTGACCGAACCCACAGTTAGCCTGTCACTAATCCAATTCCAATCTGAAGAGACCAACTTCCTTTCTTTCTCTGTGGCAGAGCTATGTGGCTTGTTTTTATCATATGGCCCCTGGTCTTCCTTCCCTCCTAAGCATACAGACAGACCCTGGAAGAAGGACCCTTTTTCCTACCCACCTAATTGCCAGGCTGTGGGAAGGGGGAAAGGGAGAGGGAGCCATGTAGCAAAGCAAGGTCACTTTATGTTATGTGGCAAAAATGGACAAATAATCAACTCCAAACAAGTCTGGATTTGGGAGATACACCTGTCTCTTTAAACAGACGGGAGTGCCGAGCGTGGCGGGCACACCTGCAATCCCAGCGTCTGGGAAGCAGAGGCAGGAGTATTATAGCAGGCTTGAGGCCAGGCCAGCCAGAGCTACACAGCAAGACTATTTCAAATACCAAACCAAACCCAAACAAATGAACAAAAGACAAGAGACACACTGGCATAGGCCTGTAATCCCAGGATTCAGGAGGCTGGGACAAGAGCATTCTAAATAGTAAGTTCAAGGCTAGTCTGGACAACACAGATTCTGTCCTAAACAACAACAACAACAACAGAAAGAAAGAAAGAAAGAAAGAAAGAAAGAAAGAAAGAAAGAAAGATAGAAAGAAAAAAAACCAACCCTGGCTGGATATACTGGTGCTAACCTTTAAATATCAGCACTAAAGAGGCAGAAGGAGGAGTACATCTGAGTTTGGGGCCACCCTGGATTACATAGTGAGTTCCAGATCAGCCAAGGTTATATACAGAGACCCTGTCTCAAACACAAAACAAAACAAACCGGTTGTCTCCTGCTCACTGTATGACAGGATCTCCATCAAGATGCTCCTGAAAAGCAGCTCCAGGGCTGGCAGACACCAAACCTGGAAGGTACCTGTAACCAGAGTTGCCCTGCTGATGGCCTAGGAGGGAGGAGTCAGACTGCCAACTCCGCCCATCTATCCTCTAAAAGTCCTTTTGGGGACCATTTTCCAGAGTGACAGGCGGGTAACTAAATGTATTCCAGCATGAAGCCTGCAGCAGCAAGGCTGCTTGATTAAGAATGAATTACACTTTCATCAGCACAGAAAGAAAATTGATTCACAAGGCTGC